GAAGGCACTATATGCCTTTGCTAACCTGTTGTCTTTCTCCCCGTCAATCTTACCATCTGAGGAGCTGAGGCTACCTAGGTAATTAAACTGCTGGACTGATTTGAACTCTGATTGGCCAATGGTGATGTGGGGATGATGGGGGACTTCCTGAGGTGCAGGTTGATGGAGAACTTTCTCTTTTAAATAATGCATCTTTAATAGGTAAAATGGCCACATGTATCAAAAATCGTGAAAATAATCTGGAGTTTAATGAATATAAATGATATAAAAAAACTATGCAAAGAAAAAATTGAAATAAATTCTCAGACAAAACAGAATATTGACAGCATGTAGAAAATACAGATGTAATATGACTAACTGAAGTTTACACTTTGATGGACATTAATTGAACACAAATCAATTTAAAAAAACCTAAAACTAGAACAAAAAAAAGAAGGCAGATTTCAAATAATTAATTAAAAACATGAAAGAGAACCCAGATCACATCCCAAAGCAAGCTCTAATTAATTCAATCAGACATGTTCATGACAAAGGAAACATTGATTTCATTACTCCAGGGCAATGAAAGCTTAATTTCATATCCAGTGAAGATAGTGAAACCTTTGTGATTAGCATAAGTAAAGAAGTCAGAACTTGAAGTTTACATTGATAAACTCCATAACACTTTTTCCTTACAGGAGGACTCAAACCCCAGTCTCTTTGACAGTGTGCAAGAAAATTAAGTTCTGGTAAACAGGGTTAAAAACAATACAGTGCATGCAGAGGGAAATCTCACAACACTCCCACAGGTTGGCAGCAGGATACGTTGCCTGACAGTGCCTGCAGCTCTGCAGTGCTACAGTGGGCATGTCATTAAGGGATTAAAGATGTTACTCCATCCATTTGCAACATATGATATCTGGAAGGTATGTATGCATGCATTTTATTTCAGGATTTTTCCAGCCAGGGATTCCCTTTTCATGGTTACATGGTTACAAAGTTACATGGTTACAGCTAATGGTAATGCAAGCTCTTCCCCACTGCCCCCTATTTTTTTCTCTTTTTTTCCTTTAACCTTTTTTTTAATTTTTCCTTTTTTTTTTCCAAAAGAACCCCCAAACCCAAACAAAACACTCCACATTCTCCAAAACCCAAAAAACCCCCAAACGAAAAAACCTGCAAAGTTTAGAACATTCACCAAAGTCAGAGAACCAAAATTTCTGTTGAACAGTAACTGAACAAAAGGTATAAAAAGTGTTTACCTGGAAGGCAGAAGAGCAAGATTCACAAAGTGTCTGCACCTCCTTTTGCACAGTGAGAAACTTTGTCAGGACACTCCTGTCACCCCCAAGCTGTGGTGGTTAAGGTATGTGGGTAATTTGCTTGCACTGAATTTGAACATTCATCTCCCTCCCCTTGCATGAGTCTGCAACAAAAAATCCCCAAAAGACAAGCAAGTGAATAAAAAAGAAGAGGCTCACTATCACTTAAGGAAAAGAAAAAAGACCAAAAAGAAAGAAAAGAGAAATGCACAATGATGGGGCAATTGTGCTGTGAGAAAAAAAAAAAAAGTGATTAGAGTCACAGAATCTTCAAATGGTTTGGGTTGGAAGAGACCTTAAAGATCATTTAGTTCTAGGTCCCCTGGCATAGACAGGGATAAGGTGAACATTTTTGTGTATTAAAAGAGTTTTTATAAATCATTATTAATTTTTGTCTGTAGCTTGTGGAAACAGAAAAAGAAACACTCACTGGGATGAAAACAGCTGTGAACTTTGCTTAAACAAACAAGAAACCAAAATTATCTAATATCAGGAACAAAGGCCCTGGAACAAAATTTCCATTACAAGAATTAGTAAGAATAAATCAAAGATGCAAAGAAAAGATGGGTAACTCTTTCTTCAACACATCAGATTAATGAGATGACCTCTTTAGACATAACAGCCTTTGCTTCTATGTTTCTGTGATATAGTTATCACTGATATTACTTTTTCTCATACTGTTCTGATGCCATTTCACTAATTGTACTGCTCTGTTCTTCATTACTTTTCCTGATCTTAGCATTTTTGTCGAATAAGTGTGGTTAAGGAGTTATAAGAGTGGAACGATGTATAATTTTATTATCATGAATTGTGCATAATTGAATAAAAGTCTGAGATTCATTGTGGTAATTAATTACTTCCTGACCACTTTCAGCATTCTTTTTAATGATTTTTTTTTTAACATTAATTTGCAAAAGAAAAGATATAATGGGTGACTACTTCAGAGTGCTTTTCTCTTTTGCTTCCCTCTTGAACGGACTTCATTTCACTTGCATGGAAATTAGATGAAAGATTACTTTGAATTTCAGTTACTGGGACTTAAATCTGTACCGTACAATCTCTCTATATATATACATATATACTTTTTTTCATCTTTCATCAGATGGCTTCTAAACACAGCTGCAAGGGTAAGTGAATTCAAGCATTTATCATTTATGTGAAAAAGAAATATGTTGCTAGTTAATTCTTTTGAAAAGAAGGAGAAATTGAGTCAGTGGAAAATAAACTTCCATACCGATCACAAGTCCTACGAGGAGAGGCTGAGGGAGCTGGGGTTGTTTAGTCTGGAGAAGAGGAGGCTCAGGGGAGACCTCATCACTCTCTACAACTCCCTGAAAGGAGGTTATAGCCAGATAGGGGTTGGTCTCTTCTCCCAGGCAATCAGCAGTAGGACAAGAGGGCATGGTCTTAACCTCTGCCAGGGGAGCTTTAGGTTGAATATCATGAAAAAAATTTTTACAGAGAGAGTAATCAGACATTGGAATGGGTTGCCCTGGGAGGTGGTGGATTCTCCATCCCTGGAGGTTTTTTAGATGAGACTGGATGTGACACTTAGTGCCATGGTCTGGTAACCATGGCAGTGTTGGATCAAGGGTTGGACTTGATGATCTTGGAGGTCTATTCCAACCCAATCGATTCTATGATTCTATGACATTTTTGAGCCCATGTGAACTGTCTGTGAACAGAACAGGTTCATTCTGGTCTGTGCTGTTAAGATGGTTATACCACCCCAGAGATATACTGAGTCTCCAAACTGGAGCTACTGTTGTGGCAGACACAAAGGCTGAATTTAGTCCCTCTGAACTGGAGTGTGTTGATTAAACAAAAAGAGGTGAATCTTAGTCGGTGTCAATGTGTTTCTGTTTTCATTATAGAGAAAGGATCCTCCAAAAATCAAACTTTATATTTTATTTGCTTCTCAAGCTGTATCTCTGTTGAAAAGCAAAGAAGAGCAATGCAACTCCAAGCCTATAAATTTCATTTACATGTCTGGAATGAAATAGGATCTATTCAGGGAAAGACAAAAATGGTATAACCCAAGAGACATGCAAATGCAATAAATAGGAGATAATTTTCAAATACTGATCAGCATGATAAAAATATTCACAGGCTTTGTGATGGAGACAAAAATTTAACCATACAAGCCATTTTAAATCCCCAATCATTTATTTGTCTATAGTAGATATTTTCTGTGATATAACACAGTCGATATAAATCAATGTAACTGTCAATTTCTGTAAAGTTCTGTTAATCCTGATTTACATCAGATGAATGATAGAGCAACTATTTTAATAAAGACTGAAGTAAAATCCTATATTTAAATAATTTTTGTCAATATAGATCAGTCTGATACTTTCTTTGATTAGATCCACCTCCTTAAAATTTTCTTTGCATTTCATGTTCGAACTCAGAGTTTAGATATGATTGCTAATTGATCCTGAATAGCTTTCAAATCACTGCTAAGTGTGGAACTTATTCTCTGTAGATTTAAAAGGCAAAAAGTTAAGAACCCGGGAAAAGCCAAATATTTGTCCCTCTCTGCAAGAATGGAGAGAGCAAAGTTCTGCCAAATTGTGACAGAACCATCCAAAAATAAGAGCTTGAAACTGATGGTGTAAATACTACCCACTGAGGGGGAATCAGCTGCAAGAATTGCCAGTGTAGAGATGTGTTTCTAAGCTGACTATCTAAATTCAAAATGTAGTCGAGGAAGAAAATTGACACTTCAAATGTTTGTTCTATTTCATTGTTTAACTAACAAGTAGAGCAGCATAGTTGGCCTACTTCCTAAAAATGCTCATTTTTCTCCTCAGTCTCCTCTGGAGATAGATCTACATGTGGTAGCCAGGTAGGTAGTTAGATGTCTACATTATAGATGTCTGTATTCGTCAGATGAGACTTATCGTTACTTATTTATAGTTCTGGAACTATTAAATGATAATCAGGTGACTTCAGATCTGATTCAAACACTAAATCAGAAAATCTTCTGTTTCCCAGCTGTATTGCAGAAGTTTCCCAGTAGTCAAGTCATTCCTTTGTTGTAGCATCAATTCACAGTTTCCTAATAACCACATGTGTAGAAACACCTACTGGCAAAATTATGGATTTATATGGAAAATTGAAAACTGTTTCCCTGACTTTCAGGAGAATCTGAACTGATAAGCATTTATGTTGCTACCATTTTCAAAGAGGAGAGAAGTGGAGAGTTTTGTAAATACAGTTTAGAACATTTTAACCATGACATACCTTCCCTCTTACTGAACCACAGTGTACAATTTAAACAGGTGGGGTTTTTTTATATTTAATGATCAAAAGCAGTATTAGTTAATTACTAACATTTTGGGAACTGGAATTTGCAGGGAGGAAAAGCAGTCACAGCACCAAGCCTGACAGAGTTCAAGAAGCATTTGGACAACACTCTTGGGCACATGGTATGACTTATAAAGGTGTTCCTGTGCGGGGCTAAGAGTTGGACTCCATGATCCTTGAGGGTCCCTTCTGTCTCTAGCATATTCTGTGATTCTGTAATTCTGTAATGATATTGGGCTATCTAAAATAGGTTTCACATATCTCATTTCAAGAAAAGACACCCGATTTAATTCCACGCTAAGTTCAAGTGATTAATCCTTAACATTGAATAACTAGTCAGGACTTTTCAGTTTTGTCCTGGTTTCAGCTGGGATTGAGTTAGCTTTCTTCTTAGTAGCTGATACAGTGCTATGTTTTGGATTTAGTAAGAGAATAGTGTTGATAACACATTGATGTTTTGGTTGTTGCCAGGCAGTGCTACACTAAGTCAAGGACCCCTCAGCATCTCAGGCTGTGCCAGCAAGCCAGTGCACAAAAACCTGAGAGAGAGCACAGTCAGGACAGCTGACCCAAACTGGCCAAATTACACATAAGAAACATTTTCAGAGACTTTTGTATGTTGTAAATCAGAACGTGACGAAAGAAAGAACTTCTGAGAGTAGCGCTAAATCTCTGCACATAAAAGAAGTGGCTAAGATGGAACAGAAGTATTTTCAAGCATTGGTAAGCAATTCATGCACCTAATAAGTGATAGAGGCCAAGTTAGCTCAAAAACATATTTTAAATTGAAAAAGTAAGCAAACAACAAATAAACCAATCCCTCCTATCTTACATCTCTGTTAATGTCCTTTTATAGTCTCCAAGTTTTGAGTATCCACAAATCTTCATGTCAGTTTAAATAGCATATAAAAAAATAGAAGTAGTTTAATATTCTAAAGAGGCATGTAGAGCAGTTCTGTATGGGGATATATTTTATTAGAACTGCACATCACATCCTTGTGCTTATTTCAGTTAGCTACTTCCTCTGAAAAATAAAATTTAAAACCATCACTGACAAAAAGTCCCATTGGTGTGGCTGACATTGAGGTGCACCTCTAACAATGTTTCAGTAATCCTGCATTCACACTAACAAAGAGGGAGATAGTATGCTAAACTTTATTCCTTTCTCTTTAATCCTTCTTGGAGAGATGTATTGTGAATGCTGATAACCACCCAGAAGCTTTGACTGTCCAAAGGACAATGAAGATGGTGAAGGATCTGGAACACAATTCTTGTGAGGAGGGGCTGAGGGAGCTGGGGACATTTAGCCTGGAGAAAAGCAGGGGGGGGTAATCTTATCACTCTACAACTACTTGAAAGGAGGTTGTAGCCAGGTGGATGTCAGTCTCTTCTCCCAGGTAACAAGCAATAGGGCAAGAGGAAATGGTCTCAAGTTGCACCAGGGGAAGTTTAGACTGGATATTAGGGAAAATTTCTTCACTGATAGAGCAGTCAGGCATTAGAACAGGCTGCCAAGGGAAGTGGTGGAGTCGCTGTGTCTGGAAGTGTTTAAAAGACATGTGGATGTGACACTTGGGGACATGTTTTATTGGTGAACACAGTGGTCCTGGGTTAACAATTGGTCTTGATAACCTTTGAGGTCTTTTCTAACCTCAAAGATTCTATAATTCTATGAATGTCATTCACCCAATATGTAGATTTCACCTAATCAGTTTTCATGTCAGTAGAAAGAATATCCAGAAGAGAACACAGACAGAACTGACAATGTGTCACTAAAGCAAAAATATGGAATCTCTAGTAGTGGCAGCACATGTTGAAGCCAATGGTTCAATGCCCCATGGAACCAGATGAAAAAATGAACACTTCGGAAAGTCCTGTTTTTGATCTTTTACTATTGCTCCGGCTTAATGAGTCTGCAAGGTAAGTTTAAAGTCTAGCTGAGGGGATATAAGAAACTCAGAGAAAAAAGGAGTGTTGGAAAGGTTCTGCTATCATGAACAGGAGCAAAGGAGCCTGAAGTTGTGCTAATTTGGCACATTTCTCTTTTTTTTTGTTAGGTGGTGGTTTGTAACTTCCAGTGTAGAGTTTGTGGGGATCATGTGCAACATTTGCAGCTTGTT